AATGGCTTCTCGCCCGTGTGTGTTCTCTGGTGAATCTGAAGAGTTGACGAGAGTGAAAATGCCTTCCCACACACTGGGCACAGGAATGGCTTCTCACCCGTGTGCGTTTTCTGATGAGCTTGAAGAGTTGATGACCTTGCAAATGCCTTCCCACAAACAGAACACGGGAATGGCTTCTCACCTGTGTGTGTTTTCTGATGCCTGTTCAGAGTTGATAACTGTGCAAATGCCTTCCCACACACAGAGCACAGGAACGGCTTCTCGCCTGTGTGTGTTCTCTGGTGTCTCTGAAGATCTGATGGCCGTGAAAATGCCTTCACACACACAGAGCAATTGAATGGCTCCTTGCTCCCGTGTGCTAGGGGCTTCGCAGAGCGTATCTGCTCCATGTGACTGCTTCTTCTGAGCGGAGTACCAGTAGCTTGTGTTATCGATAATTAAAAGTATCCTATCGTCCGCGAGGATGTTAAGCGTTGCGTTTTTAGATTTTGTAAACTGCCAAAACAAGAACGTCACTCGCGTTTAACCGAGACGCGAAAATAGACACTTACTTGGAGATTCACGGTGAATCGATGTCTGTAACCCGTCTGAAGATGTCCCCACGAACTCGCATATTCACTCACCATACGAAGCAAAGTCGCCTAACTGTCGACACAGCAATTGTGTTCACCAGGCTGTGTTGTCTCGCGGTAGAAGGGCGATCAGCAGAGCGACGAGTCGAGCGTCCAGCCTCATCAAGTTCCCTCTCGAAATGGCCTTGAGCTCTGCTTCTGATCCGCCTTATAACTCCCTCCCTAGGATCCAATCCTTTGTCTTTCAGGATATTTGCATTCGATTGTTAATTTTGGAAGGTACAATCCGTATGTCTATTAACATACCGAATGGTAATGTGCCCACTGTGCTTCATGCCTGAATATGTAAGTGCATCTCAGTGTGTAATATCGCGCTTATATTGAATAAATTGGATTAGCGCTGTAAAAACACGTTCCCCATGCCCTCCATTGTCCTCGAATTAAAGTGAATGCAGTCCCGTGGCGTTGCCCACAACCGCCGAGCTTCGGGGCTTGAGCACGTTCAGACGCGTAGTGACCACACTTGCAACACAATCACTCTAACATCAGTAACCAAAATCCAATCTTGTACATGGTCTCCGCTTAATCTGCTTTGTATCCGTCATCACTCCGGAGACAAACAGAGAGGCGTGGTTCGGCCAGCCACCACCTCATTTGGCGCATCTACTTTAATAGCTGCTCTCAAACAACACTGTCACAAATAGTGGTTTACGGGCTAGGGTGTTAAGCGGACAATCCGTCGTTTTGGTCAAGGCGTATGGAATAATAGACACCTCTGTTATCGCATAAACACAATACACAGCAGCGGGAAGGCTGCCTTGTTGGGGAGATGTAGTTTGGGTAAGGTGATGTGACTGGAGTTAGGCGATGTGACTGGGTGATCACACGGATTCCGAAACATAGCAGAGACGATACGATCCACTGCGCTCCATTTCCCAACATGGACAACGACATTCTCAGTAAATTATGTGTAGTGTACAGTAAGGGGATGTATTTGATCCCTGCTTATTTTGGACGTTTGCCCAATGACAAAGAAATGGTCAGTCTATAATTGTAATGGTAGGTTTATTTGAACAGTGAGAGACAGAATAAAGATTTCTGGCTCCCAGGTGTCTTTTATACAAGTAATGAGCTGAGATTAGGAACACACTCTTAAAGTCAGTGCTCCTAATCTCAGCTTGTTACCTGTATAAAAGACATCTGTCCACAGAATCAATCAATCAGATTCCAAAGTCTCCACCATAGCCAAGACCAAAGAGCTTTCCAAGGATGTCAGGGACAAGATTGTAGACCTACACAAGTCTGGAATAGGCTACAAGACCATTGCAAAGCACGTTGGTGAGAAGATGACAACAGTTGGTGCGATTATTCGCAAATGGAAGAAACACAAAAGAACAGTCAATCTCCCTCGACCTGGGGCTCCATGCAAGACCTCACCTCGTGGAGTTGCAATGATCATGACAACGGTGAGGAATCAGCCCAGAACTACACGAAAGGATTTTGTCAATGATCTCAATGCAGCTGGGACCATAGTCACCAAGAAAACAATTGGTAACACACTACGCCGTGAAGGACTGAAATCCTGTAGCACCCTGCAAGGTCCCCCTGCTCAAGAAAGCACATATACATGCCAGTCTGAAGTTTGCCAATGAACATCTGAATGATTCAGAGGACAACTGCGTGAAAGTGTTCTCGTCAGATGAGACCAAAATGGAGCTCGTTGGCATCAACTCAACTCGCTTTGTTTGGAAGAAGAGGAATGCTGCCTATGACCCCAAGAACACCATCACATATTCTAACATATATACAATACACATGATTTAAAAACGTATTTGAAATATTTTTTTTACTGAGACTGTCGTTGTCCATGTAGGGAGATGGAGCGCAGTGGATCGTATCGTCTCTGCTATGTTTCGGAATCCGTGTGATCACCCAGTCACATCGCCTAACTCCAGTCACAGCGCCTTACACAAACCAAATCTACCCAACAAGGCATCCTTCCAGCTGCTGTGTATAGTGTTTATGGGATAACAGAGGTGTCTATTATCCCCTACGCCTTGACCAAAACGACTGATTGCCCGCTTAACACCCTAGTCCGTAAACCACTAATGGTGACAGCGTTGTTTGCGAGCAGCTATTAAAGTCGCTGCGGCAAATGAGGTGGTGGCTGGCCGAACCGTGCCTCGCTGTTTGTCTCCGGAGTGATGACGGATACAAACCAGACCAAACGGAGGCCATGTACCAGATCGGGTTTTGGTTACTGATGTTAGAGTGATTGTGTTGCAAGTGTGGTCACTACGCGTCTGAACGTGCTCAAGCCCCGAAGCTCGGCGGTTGTGGGCAACGCCACGGGACTGCATTCACTTTAATTCGAGGACAATGGAGGGCATGGGGAACGTGTTTTTACAGCGCTAATCCCACTTATTCAAAATAAGCGCGCAATTACACAATGAGTTGCACTTACATATTCAGATATGAAACACAATGGGCACATTACCATTCGGTATGTTAATAGACATACGGATTGTACCTTCCAAAATTAACAATCGAATGCAAATATCCTGAAAGACAAAGGATTGGGTCCTAGGAGGGGAGTTATAAGGCGGCTCAGAACAGAGCTCAAGGCCATTTCGAGATGGAACTTGATGAGGCTGGACGCTCGACTCGTCGCTCTGCTGATCGCCCTTCTAACGCGAGACAACGCAGCCTGGTGAACACAATTGCTGTGTCGACAGTTAGGCGACTTTGCTTCGTATGGTGAGTGAATATGCGAGTTCGTGGGGACATCTTCAGACGGGTTACAGACATCGATTCACCGTGAATCTCCAAGTAAGTGTCTATTTTCGCGTCTCGGTTAAACGCGAGTGACGTTCTTGTTTTGGCAGTTAAAGAAATCCCAAAACGCAACGCTTAACATCCTCGCGGCTGATAGGGTACTTTTAATTATCGATAACACCCGCTACTGGTACTCCGCTCAGAAGAAGCAGTCACATGGAGCAGATTCGCTCTGCGAAGCCCCAAGCACACGGGAGCAAGGAGCCATTCAATTGCTCTGTGTGTGTGAAGGCATTTTCACGGCCATCACATCTTAAGAGACACCAGAGAACACACACGGGCGAGAAGCCATTCCTGTGCCCTGTGTGTGGGAAGGCATTTTCAGTCATCAAATCTGAACAGGCATCAGAAGGTTCACGACGATTGGAAACTGAAATCAAAAGGTGAAATTCAAGGTGCTGCAATGAGTCCTGAAGGAGATTCCACCTTCGATCCCATGCAGTTGGATCCCGAGAGATGGCTGGATGTAATGGAGTGGCTCGAGAGTCAAAACGAGAACTAGGGGTGACTGAGAATAATGTTGCATGTGGTTTAACCTATTAAGCCGCATTGAGTAATTTTGCTTGTAATGTTGCCCCTTACAGTTTTTGTGAGTTTCTTGACGTGGTGGTTTAATGTTTTCGGATTACTTGCTGAAGTGGTGTGATAAGCACTGGTTGTTAGTGTTCATTTGTTGACAATATTGTAGTGGTTAAGTGTTCCTGTTGAGCTAAAGTTGAATTGAGTCTAATTACATCTTTACTCAACATTTTAAACATTTTACATAGTTTTTATTGGTTGGTAATAAGCGACTGTAGATAACCGATGTCAGGATGTACTTTGATGACGCGTTTGTTGGATTTTTAGCTTGGACTTCACCACAGACGCACAGTGAACAAATGTGGTGAACTAATCAGGAAATCAATAGGGAATGAAACGCTGACGCTTTGGTGTTCCTGAAATTGACATGGTTTACATTCAACTGTAACTGTTTGAGAATAGGACGTAACACACATTTGATACGAGTTTTAAGTAAATATTTTTGCAGCTTAATAAAAACATATTTTTAACAACTTTTTTGTCCGTTATTTATTTTACAATGTTTAAAGCAAAAACGCGTGAAAATTTCAGGTGGAGGATCTCCGTCACACAAATTTGCCCTTAACCGGCAGCATATTGGCTGTCTACCCCATTAAGATATGTTCCTTGAGGGAATGGTCCCCGTTGTTAATCGTTTCTCAACGTACCTGTCGCTAATCCCAAAGTATGCCGTGGACAAACTGTACTCTGTAACATGTAAACTGTAACAGTCTAAACGATAACACATTAACGACTATAACCTTGTTTAATAATGTATTACAACACAAATGGAGGTACGGTATTAAAATATCATTAGAAGTATTTGAATCTCACTGTGGTCGTATTAAAATCGCGAACCGGAGGTCGGATATGCGAACTGGGGTGAGGGGGGGGGGCTTCAAAGCTGAGATTAGGAGCACCAACTTTAAGAGTGTGCTCCTTATCTCAGCTCCTTACTTGTATAAAAGACACCTGGGAGCCAGAAATCTTTATTCTGTCTCTCACTGTTCAAATAAACATACCATTACAATTATAGACTGATCATTTCTTTGTCATTGGGAAAACGTACAAAATCAGCAGGGATCAAATACATTTTTCACTTAACGTACAATACACATGATTTACTGAGAATGTCGTTGTCCATGTAGGGAGATGTAGCGCAGTGGATCATATCGTCTCTGCTATGTTTCGGAATCCGTGTGATCACCCAGTCACATCGCCTAACTCCAGTCACAGCGCCTTACACAAACTACATCTCCCCAACAAGGCAGCCTTCCCGCTGCTGTGTATTGTGTTTATGGGATAACAGAGGTATCTATTATCCCCTACGCCTTGACCAAAACGACTGATTGCCCGCTTAACACCCTAGTCCGTAAACCACTAATGGTGACAGTGTTGTTTGAGAGCAGCTATTAAAGTCGCTGCGGCAAATGAGGTGGTGGCTGGCCGAACCGTGCCTCGCTGTTTGTCTCCGGAGTGATGACAGATACAAACCAGACCAAGCGGAGGCCATGTACCAGATCGGGTTTTGGTTACTGATGTTAGAGTGATTGTGTTGCAAGTGTGGTCACTACGCGTCTGAACGTGCTCAAGCCCCGAAGCTCGGCGGTTGTGGGCAACGCCACGGGACTGCATTCACTTTAATTCGAGGACAATGGAGGGCATGGGGAACGTGTTTTTCCAGCGCTAATCCAATTTATTCAAAATAAGCGCGCAATTACACAATGAGATGCACTTACATATTCAGGCATGAAACACAATGGGCACATTACCATTCGGTATGTTAATAGACATACGGATTGTACCTTCCAAAATTTAACAATCGAATGCATATATCCTGAAAGACAAAGGATTGGATCCTAGGAGGGGAGTTATAAGGCGGCTCAGAAGCAGAGCTCAAGGCCATTTCGAGAGGGAACTTGATGAGGCTGGACGCTCGACTCGTCGCTCTGCTGATCGCCCTTCTAACGCGAGACAACGCAGCCTGGTGAACACAATTGCTGTGTCGACAGTTAGGCGACTTTGCTTCGTATGGTGAGTGAATATGCGAGTTCGTGGGGACATCTTCAGACGGGTTACAGACATCGATTCACCGTGAATCTCCAAGTAAGTTTCAATTGTCGCGTCTCGATTAAACGCGAGTGACATTCTTGTTTTGGCAGTTAAAGAAATCCAAAAACGTAACGCTTAACATCCTCGCGGACGATAGGGAACTTTTAACTATCGATAACACCCGCTACTGTTACTCCGCTCAGAAGACGCAGTCACATGGAGCAGATACGCTCTGCGAAGCCCCAAGCACACGGGAGCAAGGAGCCATTCAATTGCACTGTGTGTGTGAAGGCATTTTCACGGCCATCAGATCTTCAGAGACACCAGAGAATACACACTGGCGAGAAGCCATTCCAGTGTTCTGTATGTGGAAAGGAATTTTCACTTTCAGCTCACCTTAAACGCCATGAGAGAACACACACGGGCGAGAAGCCATTCCTGTGCCCTGTGTGTGGGAAGGCATTTTCACAGTCATCAACTCTTCAAACTCATCAGAAAACACACACAGGTGAGAAGCCATTCCTGTGTTCTGTGTGTGGGAAGACATTTTTACTTTCTTCAGACCTTAAACGCCATGAGAGAACACACACGGTCGAGAAGCCATTCCTGTGCCCTGTGTGTGGGAAGGCATTTTCACTTTCAGCAGACCTTAAACGCCATAAGAGAACACACACGGGCGATAAGCCATTCCTGTGCCCTGTGTGTGGGAAGGCATTTTCACAGTCATCAAATCTGAACAGGCATCAGAAGGTCCACGATGATTGGAAGCTGAAATCAAAATGTGAAATTCAAGGTGCTGCAATGAGGCCTGAAGGAGATTCCACCTTCGATCCCATGCAGTTGGATCCCGAGAGATGGCTGGATGTAATGGAGTGGCTCGAGAGTCAAAACGAGAGCTAGGGGTGACTGAGAAATAATGTTGCATGTGGTTTAACCTATTAAGCCGGATTGAGTAATTTTGCTTGTAATGTTGCCCCTTACAGTTTTTGTGAGTTTCGTGACGTTGTGGTTTAATGTTATCGGATTACTTGCTGAAGTGGTGTGATAAGCACTGGTTGTGAGTGTTTAATTGCTGAAAATATTGTAGTGGTTAAGTGTTCCTGTTGAGCTAAAGTTGGAATGAGTCTGTTACATCTTTACTGAACATTTTAAACGTGTTTTTTCAATAGTGTAGGTTTTTTCTTTGTCAATAAGCGACTTGAAATAACCGATTTCAGGATGTACCTTGATGAAGCATTCGTCTCGCGTATCGTTTGGACTTCAAAATAGACGCACAGTGAACAAATATGGTGAGCTAGTAAGGACATCAATGGGGAAGGATACTTTAGTTTGGTATTCCTGGAAGTGACATGGTTTTCATTATACTGTAGCTATACTCATTGGTTCTTTAGGTAACGTCACGTAGGTAGACAAAATAATAGATAATAATAGATCAATAATGTGATCTATTATGTTTCTACCTACGTGACTTTAACGAAATAACCAAAGAGCGGATTCCTGCAGTCACGAAAGCTTGTTGTGTTTGATGAAGTGGTGTCATGAGCAGTGGTTGTGAGAGGGTTAAATTCCTGATTATTGCCAATGTTAAGGGTTCCCGTTGAGCCTATGTTGAAATGATTCTGTAATTACATCTTTACTCGAATTTTAAACCTTTTTAAAAGTAATTTTGCTTTTTTGGTTGGTAATAAGCAACTTTAGATAACCGATTTCAGGATGTACATTGATGACGCGTTCGTCTGATGTACGGCTTGGACTTCAAGTCAGACGCACAGTGAACAAATGTAGTTAACCAATAATGAAATCAATGGGCAATGATATGGAAGTGTCATGGTTTGCATTGTATTGTAATTGTTTGAGCAGAGGACGTAGTAAATATTCGGTACGAGTTTTTACGTTAATATACTTGCATATGAATAAAAATGTTTATTTTAACAACTTGTTTGGCCGTTATTAATTTTACATAATTCATAGCAAAAACGTGTGGAGCTGAGTTTCAGGTGGAGCATCTCCGTCACACGAGTCTGACCTTAACAGGCATCATCTTGGCTGTCTCTCCATTAGCATGTGTTCCTGGAGGGGAAAGGTCCCCATTATAAATCTATTCGCAACGTTACGGTTCCTAATGCACTCTATGACATGTAAACTGTAACTCCATAAACGATAACACGTTAACATCATGATCATCTCTCACATTAACACAACCACTCGTCGAGGAGACCGCTTTCCTATCTAACAGTGACATGATAATTTCTCACATTAACATCACTAGCACCGGCCACTTCTTTATCACCCTAGGGCTACACCAATTTCAAACCTTTTAAAACAGTCTGCCTCTGAAGTGGTGTGACGAGCAGTGAAGTGTGATATTCGAATTCCATTCGAATTATTAGAATTAGTTCCGCCCATGGCAGGGTCCGGATTGTCCGGTAGAAGTCATAGAGGTGAGACGGCCTCAGTGAGTACGAATGAGGTTGGGGCGCCGTCGTTGGTTCGTCCACCGGTCCAGCCTCAAAACTGATGTCCGTCCCCACCCAGACAGCTCATCCCCATGGATTGTACAGCCCAAGTCTGGTGTGTCCGACGTGATGGGGCGCTCGGCAATGGAAACCGTACGCCAAAGGAAATGTGTTGTACCGCCCACAGTTTACGAGCCCCAGAGGCTCGGCGTGCCTCAAGGATCCGCCACGTGAGAGGGAGCGGTGCCTGGAGCCCGCTCATATTCTTCACAAGAAGCCAGGGACCCGCCTAACCCTTCAAGGTTGTGGTGCGAACCCTTGACGCCCGGAAGGGCACAAGATTCCATCATGGGCGAGGCACCGGCGGCGAGAAGCCGGTCAAAATGCGCAAAGTTGCGATTGTAGGATCCACACCCAACACACGGACAATAGAAGGGTCCCCTTGGACAACGTGGAAGCGTATTAGGATTTGTGTGTGGTTGTTGTTGTTTTGTTGGTTTATTGTTGTTGTTGTTGTCGGGTGAGTAGGGTCACACGGCTTACCCCTTACAGATGACCGTTAAGATTGTGATTGTAGCGGCGTGGGAAAAATGTTGCTGCAGCTGCTGCCCTGACGCACGTGGCTTCTAAAAATTGTTGTTAGCCGAGACGGCTCATTTTGTTTTAAGATGGTTGTTGTGAAGACAGTGCCTCAACGAAGGGACAAGCGGTGACAACAGGAGAGAGAGAGTTCAAGAAGAGAAGGCTGGACCAAGGGTTGGGGGAGGTTGACGCCGAGAGAGAGTTGAAGGAACGAGGTTCAGGGCTGTGTTAGTGGGGATTCGGGTCGTGGCTGGTTGCTGTCTCCTCGTCGTCGTTGCTATATCGTGACGCCGGGGTCCGAAGCCGTGTTAAAGCCTAAACAAAAGAACCTTCTATTGTCTGAGTCCGGAGTCGTTACAATTGCAACTGTTAATAATCTCACGGACTTGGGGTTGTGCGTTTATTTAAACATTTATATATACGGATATTGTATAGTGCCATTCGATATCATTCAGATTGAACATTCATCTAGCTGATGATGATTGCTTGTTTTGCAGTCGAAACGTCGTGAGAGTTTTATTGTTTTATATTTTTATTATTTTATTGTTTCCCTTCAACGTGACTTTGCCGAAAGAACCAAGAATATGAATCCCTGCATTCACGAAAGCTTTAAATCAAAATTCATCCAGCTGTCAAAGTCCTGATTCTAATGTGACCATAGTGCGATTCTAATAGTTTCAATGGGATTCTAATCATTGCAAATCCAAAGTCGCATTAGCGACTCTCGATTCGCATTTACAAATCTCAAACATTCGAGCAAAGCGTTATTCTAATAATTTTAATGCAATTCTAACTCACCCCAGTTCGCATATCCGACCTCCGGTTCGCTTCCACGTACACTACACATGCATATGAGCAGAGCGCGATTTTAATACGACCACAGTGAGATTCAAATACTTCTAATGATAGTTTAATACCGTACCTCCACATTTGTGTTGTAATACATTATGAAACAAGGTTTTAGTCGTTAATGTGTTATCGTTTAGACTGTTACAGTTTACATGTTACAGAGTACAGTTTGTCCACGGCATACCTTGGGATTAGCGACTGGTGCGTTGAGAAACGATTAACAACGTGGACCATTCCCTCAAGGAACATATCTTACATATCACACGTTTTTGCTTTAAACATTGTAAAATAAATAACGGACAAAAAGTTGTTAAAAATATGTTTTTATTCATCTGCAAAAATATTCACTTGAAACTCGTATCAAATGTGTGTTACGTCCTATTCTCAAACAGTTACAGTTGAATGTAAACCATGTCAATTTCAGGAACACCAAAGCGTCAGCGTTTCATTCCCTATTGATTTCCTGATTAGTTCACCACATTTGTTTACTGTGCGTCTGTGGTGAAGTCCAAACTAAAAATCCAACAAACGCCTAATCAAACTACAGCCTGACATCGGTTAGCTACAGTCGCTTATTGCCAACCAAAAAAAATATGTAAAATAAAAAAAGCTTTAAAATGTTGAGTAAAGATGTAATTAGACTCATTTAAACTTTAGCTCAACAGGAACACTCACAACCAGTGCTTATCACACCACTTCAGCAAGTAATCCGAAAACATTAAACCACCACGTCACGAAACTCACAAAAACTGTAAGGGGCAACATTACAAGCAAAATGACTCAATCCGGCTTAATAGGTTAAACCACATGCAACATTATTTCTCAGTCACCCCTAGCTCTCGTTTTGACTCTCGAGCCACTCCATTACATCCAGCCATCCCTCGGGATCCAACTGCATGGGATCGAAGGTGGAATCTCCTTCAGGACTCATTGCAGCACCTGGAATTTCACCTTTTGATTTCAGCTTCCTATCATCGTGGACCTTCTGATGCCTGTTCCGTATTGATGACTGAGCAAATGCCTTCCCACACACAGAGCACAGGAATGGCTTCTCACCCGTGTGTGTTCTCTGGTGAATCTGAAGAGTTGACGAGAGTGAAAATGCCTTCCCACACACAGGGCACAGGAATGGCTTCTCACGCGTGTGTGTTTTCTGATGAGCTTGAAGAGTTGATGACCTTGCAAATGCCTTCCCACAAACAGAACACGGCAAGGGCTTCTCGCCTGTGTGTGTTCTTTGGTGAGTTTGAAGAGTTGATAACTGTGCAAATGCCTTCCCACACACAGAGCACAGGAACGGCTTCTCGCCTGTGTGTGTTCTCTGGTGTCTCTGAAGATCTGATTGCCGTGAAAATGCCTTCACACACAGTGCAATTGAATGGCTCCTTGCTCCCGTGTGCTTGGGGCATCGGAGAGCGTATCTGCTCCATGTGACTGCTTCTTCTGAGCGGAGTAACAGTAGCGGGTGTTATCGATAATTAAAAGTACCCTATCGTCCGCGAGGATGTTAAGCGTTGCGTTTTTAGATTTTGTAAACTGCCAAAACAAGAATGTCACTCGTGTTTAATCGAGAAGCGAAAATAGACACTTACTTGGAGATTCACGGTGAATCGATGTCTGTAACCCGTCTGAAGATGTCCCCACGAACTCGCATATTCACTCACCATACGAAGCAAAGTCGCCTAACTGCCGACACAGCAATTGTGTTCACCAGGCTGCGTTGTCCCGCGGTAGAAGGCGATCAGCAGAGCGACGAGTCGAGCGTCCAGCCTCATCAAGTTCCCTCTCGAAATGGCCTTGAGCTCTGTTCTGAGCCGCCTTATAACTCCCCTCCTAGGATCCAATCCTTTGTCTTTCAGGATATTTGCATTCGATTGTTAATTTTGGAAGGTAGAATCCGTATGTCTATTAACATACCGAATGGTAATGTGCCCATTGTGTTCCATGGCTGAATATGTAAGTGTATCTCATTGTGTAACTGCGTGCTTATTTTGAATAAATGTGATTAGCGCTGTAAAAACACGTTCCCCATGCCCTCCATTGTCCTCGAATTATAGTGAATGCAGTCCCGTGGGGAATGATACTTTAATGATTTGATATTCCTGGAAGTGACATGGTTTGCATTGTATTGTAACTGTTTGAGCATAGGACGTAATAAATATTCGGCACGATATTTTACGTAAATATTCTTGTATATGAATAAAAGTATTTTTAACAACTGTTTGTCCGTCATTTATTTTACAACTTTTTTTAAATGGCAAAAACGTGTGGATCCGAGTTACAGGTAGAGCGTCTCCATCACACAAGTCTGCCCTTAACGAGCAGTACCTTGGCTGTCTCCCCATCACCATGTTCCTAGAGGGGAATGGTCCCCGTTATAAATCGTCTCGCAGCATTCTGGTCCCTAATCCCGAAGTAAACTGGAGATCACCTGTACTGTATACCATGTCAACTGTAACACTCTAAACGATAACAATAAACATTAAATGACTATACACTGCTTTTATAATTTTCTAGCGGTAATTACCCGGCATTGCCCGGGCGAAAAAGACAGACACACACATCGACCTACTCAAACAGACATTGACCCACACACACAAAGACATTGACTTACACAGACACACATATGGAGTCACAGACACACATAGCTAGGCTCTCACACATACATCGACCTAAGCACAAATATGGACTAACACACATATATCGACTTAGAGACACACACATTGACCCACGCACACACATCGACTTACACGCAACCACAGACACATATGGACTCACACACACAGACATGGACTTTAGATACACAAACATGAACTAACACACGAAAATATCGACTCACACACACGCATTGACTTACATACACATATATGGATATGTTGTAGTTCATCGGTTATAATATTATATTTCACGATGTTAGAGTTCAACATGTGAGAGTTTGCAATGTCAGAGTTGGCCAAATGCGTCGATCAAGGGCATCGATTGGGTGCGTTTGATCAGAGTCTGATCAAAGGCGTTATCCCATCACGGGACACCTCCGTATATAACAGCAACAGAAGCAACAACAACAACAGTAAAGACAACAACAACAGTGACACATTTCGAAGATGACGCAGCCAATTCTGATTCTGCTTCTTCTGCTGCCCGACGATTCGTGGCCGGGCCCTGCTTTCGCGGGACCCCACACGTCTTTGGAAATAATTGCGACGATCATGTCTGAGCTTAGATTTGAGCGACTAAAGTTTACTTCGTTTCAACATTACTGCCTATAGGTTCGTGCCAGCGGGGCTAAACGAATACTACTCATGAATGAACTCACAATGTTTAATGACATAAATTATAATAATTTTGGTTGATTAAGTAGAACCAGTCACCTTCCTTGCCTACACGCATTCTAAATCATGTTTATCCGATCCTAATCCAGTTCGCATACACAAATGACATACATACACATTATACACGTATATACGAGCATATATCGCTTGCACGTACACCATACATACATATGCGGAGAGTGTGATTCTGAAACGATCACATTGTGATTCTAATACTTCTAATGATATTCTAATATTGATTTGAAGCTTTCGTGACTGCAGGAATCCATACTCTTTGGTTCTTTCGCTAAAGTCACGTAGGTAGAAATAAAAATAAATCACGACGTTTCGGACTCAACACAAGCGCCCATCTTCAGGTGAGAATCGCAATAGCCGCGATGTCTGCTACAGACATCGTTTCTGGTGCTTGTGTTGTGTGAGAAACGTCGTGATTGATTCTGTTTTATTTCTACCTACGTGACTTTACCGAAAGAACCAGAGTATATATTTTCAAATACTGTCACTCAGTTTATCGTGTTTATAAATTACATTTTTTTTAAACTAGTTTATAGTCGTTCAATGTTTAGTGTTATCTTTAAATTGTTACAGTTTACATGTGTTTAGAGTACAAGTGATCCCCTGTATACTTCGGAATTTGCGACCAGAAGGTTGCTAAACTATTAATAACGGGAACCTTTCCCCTCTAGGAACACGTGTTGATGGGGGAGACAGCCAACACGTTGCCGGTTAAGGTCAGACTTTGTGTGACGGAGATGCTACACCTGAAACTCGCTTCTCACTTTTTTGCTTTAAAAATTGTAAAATAAATAACGGACAATCAGTTGTTAAAAATACTTTTTATTCAAATTCAAGGATAAGAACATAAATAAACTCGCATCGAATTTTTATCACGTCCTAGTTTCAAACAGTTACTGTTAAATGTAAACCATGTCAATTCCAGGAATACAAAAGCGTCAGCGAATCACTCTCCATTGATTTCCTGATTAGTTCACCACATTTGTTCACTGTGCGTCTGTGAAGTCCAAGCAAGAAATCCAACAACCGCGTCATAAATGTACATCATGAAATCGATAATCTTCAGTCACTTATTACTAACCTTAAAAGCTATTTAAAAAATGAAAAAAACTTTAAAAGATTGAGTAAAGCTTTAATTACAGACTGATTTCAACATTAGCTCAACAGGAATACTTAACCACGACAATTTTCCGAAATTTAACCCTCTCATAACCACTGCTGATCACACCACTTCAGCAAATCACCACCTGCAAGTAACTAAACTCTCAAACACACTGTAAAACTACAGTGTCTAAATCGCATAAAAGTTCTAAATCCGGATAATAGGTATAACCACATGCAACATTATTTTTCAGTCATCCCGAGCCCTCGGTTTGACTCTCGAGCCACTCCATTACATCCAGCAATCTCTCGGGATCCAACTGCATGGGATCGAAGGTGGAATCTCCTTCAGGACTCATTGCAGCACCTTGAATTTCACCTTTTGATTTCAGTTTCCTATCATCGTGGACCTTCTGATGCCTGTTCAGATTTGACGACTGTGAAAATGCCTTTCCACACACAGAACACAGGAATGGCTTCTCGCCCGTGTGTGTTCTCTTATGATCTTGAAGAGATGATGACTGTGAAAATGCCTTCCCACACACAGAACACAGGAATGGCTTCTCACGCGTGTGTGTTTTCTCATGATCTTGAAGAGTTGATGAATGTGCAAATGCCTTCCCACACACAGAACACAGGAACGACTTCTCACCCGTGTGTGTTCTCTGGTGTCTCTGAAGAGTTGATGACTGTGCAAATGCCTTCCCACACATAGAACACAGGAATGGCTTCTCACCCGTGTGTGTTCTCTGATGAGCTTGAAGAGTTGATGACCGTACAAATGCCTTCCCACACACACAACACAGGAACGGCTTCTCACCCGTGTGTGTTCTCTGGTGAATCTGAAGAGTTGAGAGTGAAAATGCCTGTCCACACACACAACACAGGAACGGCTTCTCGCTCCCTTGTGCGTGGAGCTGTGGAGAGTGTCTCTGCTCTATGTGAGCGTCCTAACAGTAGTGGTGTCATTGAGAGAAAAGTACGCGATCGGCCGCAAGGATGTTTAGCGTTGAGTTTTGGATTTTGTTACCTTTTGAAACAAACGACACTCGCGTCTAATGCAATAAAATCCCGTAAATTTGACGACGAACACGTTTAAGAGTTTATTCGCGACAATAGACACGGACTTGGAGATTCACGGTGTATCGATGTCTGTAAACCCGTTTGAAGATGTCGCCACGAACTCTCCCCAAGCAAAGTCGCCTCACTGTCGACACAGCAATTGTGTTCGCCTTCTGCGTTGTCTCGCGGTAGAAGGGCCATCAGCAGAGCGACGAGTCGAGCGTCCAGCCTCATCAAAATCTCTCTGGAAATGGCCTTGAGCTCTGTTCTGAGCCGCCTTATAACTCCCCTCCTAGGATCCAATCCTTTGTATTTCAGGATATTTGCATTCGATTGTTAATTTTGGAAGGTACAATCCGTCTGTCTATTAACATACCGAATGGTAATGTGCCCATTGTGTTTCATGCCTGAATATGTAAGTGCATCTCATTGTATAATTGCGCGCTTATTTTGAATAAATTGGATTAGCGCTGTAAAAACACGTTCCCCAGGCCCTCCATTGTCCTCGAATTAAAGTGAATGCAGTCCCGTGGCGTTGCCCACAACCGCCGAGCTTCGGGGCTTGAGCACGTTCAGACGCGTAGTGACCACACTTGCAACACAATCACTCTAACATCAGTAACCAAAATCCGATCTGGTACATGGCCTCCGCTTGTTCTGGGTTGTATCCGTCATCACTCCGGAGACAAAGAGCGAGGCACGGTTCGGTTAGCCACCACCTCAGCCCCACGCACACGCGGGCAAGGAGCCATTCAATTGCTCTGTGTGTGAGAAGGCATTTTCACGGCCATCAAGTCTTCAAGCTCATCAGAAAACACACACGGGCGAGAAGCCATTCCTGTGCCCTGTGTGTGGGAAGACATTAGCAAGCTCATCAACTCTTCAAACTCATCAGAAATCACACACGGGAGAGAAGCCATTCCTGTGTTCTGTGTGTGGGAAGGCATTTTCAAGGTCATCACATCTTAAGAGTCACAACAACACACACGGGCGAGAAGCCATTCCTGTGCTCTGTGTGTGGGAAGGCATTTGGACAGTCATCAAAACTGAACAGGCATCAGAAGGTCCACGATGATAGGAAACTGAAATCAAAAGGTGAAATTCAAGGTGCTGCAATGAGTCCTGAAGGAGATTCCACCTTCGATCCCATGCAGTTGGATCCCGAGAGATGGCTGGATGTAATGGAGTGGCTCGAGAGTCAAACCGAGGGCTCGGGATGACTGACAAATAATGTTGCATGTGGTTTTACCTATTGAGCCGGATTGAGTACTTTTGTGTGTTTATTTTAGACCAAGTGAGACGTTAAAATTGATTATATCTGTGATTTGGACTCTGTAGTTTTACAATGTGTTTGAGAGTTTCGTTGCTTGCAGGTGGTGATTTGCTGAAATGGTGTGATCAGCAGTGGTTGTGAGAGGGTTGAATTCCTGACTATTGTCGTAGTTAAATGTTCCTGTTGAGCTAAACTTGAATTGAGTCTAATTACATCTTTACTCAACATTTTAAACTTTTTTTTATTTTACATAGTTTTTTTTGGTTGGTAATAATCGACTGTAGATACCCGATGTCAGGCTGTACTTTGACGACGCGTTTGTTGGATTGTTAGCTTGGACTTCACCACAGACGCACAGTGAACAAATGTGGTGAACTAATCAGGAAATCAATAGGGAATGATACGCAGACGCTTTGGTGTTCCTGAAATTGACATGGTTTACATTCAACTGTAACTGTTTGAAAATAGGACGTAACACACATTTGATACGAGTTTTAAGTGAATATTTTTGTAGATGAATAAAAACGTATTTTTTACAATTTTTTGTCCGTTATTTATTTTACAATGTTTAAAGCAAAAACGTGTGATATGTAAGATATGTTCCTTGAGGGAATGGTCCACGTTGTTAATCGTTTCTCAACGTACCAGTCGCTAATCCCAAAGTATGCCGTGGATAAACTGTACTCTGTAACATGTAAACTGTAACCGTCTAAACGATAACATATTATCGACTATAACCTTGTTTAATAATGTATTACAACACAAATGGAGGTACGGTATTAAAATATCATTTGAAGTATTTGAATCTCACTGTGGTCGTTTTAAAATCGCGAACCGGAGGTCGAAAATGCGAACTGGGGTGAGGGGAGGTGTGAAGAGTTAGAATCGCTTAAAAATTATTAGAATAACACTTTGCTCGAATGTTTGAGATTTGTAAATGCGAATCGGGAGTCGCTAATGCGACTTGGGATATGCAATGATTAGAATCCCATTGAAACTATTAGAATCGCACTATGGTCATATTAGAATCAGGACTTTGACAGCTGGATGAATTTTGATCTAAAGCTTTCGTGACTGCAGGGATTTATATTCTTGGTTATTTCGGTAAAGTCACCACGTATAAGGGAAACAATAAAATAATAAAAATATTAAACAATAAAATTCTCACTACGTTTCGACTGCAACACAAGTAATCATCATCAGCTAGATGAATGTTCGATCTGAATGACATCGAATAGCACTACACAATCCGTATATATATATGTTTAAATAAACGCACAAACCCAAGTCCGTGAGATTATTAATCGTTGCAATTGTAATGACTCCGGACTCAGACTGTAGAGGGTTCTTTTATTTAGCCTTTAACGCGGCTTAGGACCCCGGCGTCACGATATAGCAACGACGACGCCTTAACGGCAACCAGCCGTGACCCGAATCCCCACTAACACAGCCCTGAACCTCGTTCCTTCAACTCTCTCTCGGCGTCAACCTCCCTCCACCCCTGGTCCAGCCTTCTCTTCTTGAACTCTCTCTATCCTGTTGTCACCGCTTGTCCCTTCGTTGAGGCACTGTCTTCACAACAACCATCTTAAAACAAAATGAGCCGTCTCGGCTAACAACAATTTTTAGAAGCCACGTGCGTCAGGGCAGCAGCTGTAGCAACATTTTTCCCACGCCGCTACAATCACAATCTTAACGGTCATCTGTAAGGGGTAAGCCGTGTGACCCTACTCACCCGACAACAACAACAAGAAACCAACAAAACAACAACCACACACAAATCCTAATACGCTTCCACGTTGTCCAAGGGGACCCTTCTATTGTCCGTGTGTTGGGTGTGGATCCTACAATCGCAACTTTGCACATTTTGACCGGCTTCTCGCCGACCGGTGCCTCGCCCATGATGGAATCTTGTGCCCTTCCGGGCGTCAAGGGTTCGCACCACAGCCTTGAAGGGTTAGGCGGGTCCCTGGCTTCTTGTGAAGAATATGAGCGGGCTCCAGGCACCGCTCCCTCGCACGTGGCGGATCCTTGAGGCACGCCGAGCCTCTGGGGCTCGTAAACTGTGGGCGACTCAACACATTTCCTTTGGCGTACGGTTTCCATTGCCGAGCGCCCCATCACGTCGGACACACCAGACTTGGGCTGTACAATCCATGTGGATGAGCTGTCTGGGTGGGGACGGACATCAGTTTTGAGGCTGGACCGGTGGACGAACCAACGCCGACGCCCCAACTACATTCGTACTCACTGAGGCCGTCTCACCTCTATGACTTCTACCGGACAATCCGGACCCTGCCATGGGCGGAACTAATTCTAATAATTCGAATGGAATTCGAATATCACACTTCAATGTACGGCGTTCTAATCTAGAACACGAGTTTACAATGTTATTTTATAGCGTTATAATGTATAGCTCATAGAGTTCACAGCATTAGATTTTACTATTACACTTGTTTACAGTGTAATTGTTATGGCGTTACAATGTATATAGCACACAGTTAAAAAGGTTATATTGTTAGAGTTCATAATGTTTGAGTTTACAGTGTGAGAGTTGACAATGTGAGAGTTTGTGGCCGTGTCCTGTTCTGGCGGGACCCCACACGGATTTGGAAATAATTGCGATGACCATGAATGAGCTGAGCTTTGAGCGACTAATGTTTACTTTGTTTCAATATAACTGTGTGTAGGTTAGTGCCATTGGGGTTTATTGAATACTACTCATGAATGAACTCACTCCTTAATGAAAGAAATTGTAATCATTTTGGTAGAACAAGTCACCTGCCTTTTCAAGACGAATTGTTATCTTCAATAGCGTTCTTAAATATATTGCTAAAATACACAGCAGAGGGAAGGCTACCTTGTTGGGGAGATGTAGTTTGGGTTCGGCGCTGTGACTGGAGTTAGGCGCTGTGACCGGGTGATATCACGGATTCTGAAACAATGGAGTTCAACACTCGCTGCTTGGCCCCGTCGACAGCAGCGGAGACGATCCGATCCACTGCGCTCCATCTCCCCACGTGGCTCACGAAATTATCAGTTTTTAAATGAACACATGTTTTTGACATATTTTTAAATTCACGTGTAATGTATATATGTGCTATAATGTGTGATTGTTTTACTCCTTGTATGTTTTTTACTGAACAAATATACATTCTATTAAATTGATATGACATTCACCCATCAGTGGACAGTTTGATTCTAATACGACTACAGTGGGATATTAATAATTGTAATGCGATACTAATCCTGCATATCCTACCCCCGGTTCGCATTTGCTTAACATGCATATGACCGCAGTTAGATTCTAATATGATCACAGTGCGATTATAGTTAGTATTATGCGATTATCCCCACGGACCTCCATTTATGTTGTCTAAAACTTTAACAGTTTAAAGTATTTTTTTTACAGCGTTACAATGTATATGTTGCAGTTCATAGGTTATAGTGTTAGAGTTCACAATGTTAGAGTTTACGATGTCAGAGTTGATCAAATGCATCGATCGAGCGCTCCGATGGGGTGCGTTTGATCAGAGTATTTGATCAAAGGTTGTTATCCCATCACAGAACACCACTGTAACTGAAGCAACTTCAGCAGCAGCACCAACAACAGCAACAACAACAGCAGCGACAACATCAACAGCAGCAACATCAACTTCAGAGAGGCTGCGTCACGCGGCACCATCCAGGCGAGCAAAGGAAGAGCAGAGCCCGAATCGGCTGCCGCCACCCGAACATCAGCAGCAGTAGACATCGTGATTCTAGTAGGACCACGTTGTTATAATACTCACTTTGATGATATTCTAAACCGCGCACCTCCCAGGTTGCATGCACAACTCCCAATGTGCATCTACATAAAACACTCTAGCTCAGTGTAATTATAATAATACTACCATAGTGTTATTCTAATAATATTCATCCGATCCATATCCTGCACCCCCCAGCTCGCATATCCGACCCCCGGTTCGCAAGTCCAAATGGTATACATATTACATGTATACGTTGACTATTATACATACATATGAGCAGAGTGAGATTCTAATATGACCACGGTGTAATAATAATACTTCTAATGCGATTAAAATGCCGTACAACTGTTTTTGGTTTTATGAATGATTAAACTAGTTTATATATAGTAATTTTATGTTTTTGTGTTATCGCTTATAGAGTTACAGTTTACATGTCATACAGTACAGGTGATCCCCTGTATACTTCATGATTATTGTTCCTAACTTTGCGAATCGATTTATATTGGGGACCTTTCCCCTCCAGGAACACATGTTGATGGGGAGACAGCCAAGATGAAGCCTGTTTAGGTCAGACTTGTGTGACGGAGATGCTCCACCTGAAACTCGGCTCCACACGTTTTCGCTATTAACGTTGTAAAATTAATAACGGACAAGCAGTTGTTGAAAATAATGTTTTATTTATCTGTAAGAATATTCACAGTACTACAACTCGTAACGAAAGTTGATTAAGTCTTATGTTCAAACAGTTACAGTACAATCTTGATTTGAAGCTTTCCTGACTGCAGGAATCCGCTCTTTGGTTATTTCGTTAAAGTCACGTAGGTAGAAAAATAATAGATCACATTATGGATCTATTATTATCTATTATTTTGTCTACCTACGTGACGTTGCCTAAAGAACCAAAGAGTATAGCTACAGTATAATGCAAACCATGTCACTTCCAGGAATACCAAACCAAATTATTCTTCCCCATTGAACTGTAAGGGGCAACATTACAAGCAAAATGACTCAATCCGGCTTAATAGGTTAAACCACATGCAACATTATTTCTCAGTCACCCCTAGCTCTCGGTTTGACTCTCGAGCCACTCCATTACATCCAGCTATCTCTCGGGATCCAACTGCATGGGATCGAAGGTGGAATCTCCTTCTGGACTCATTGCAGCACCTTGAATTTCACCTGGTGAATCTGAAGAGTTGACGAGAGTGAAAATGCCTTCCCACACACTGGGCACAGGAATGTCTTCTCACCCGTGTGCGTTTTCTGATGAGCTTGAAGAGTTGATGACCTTGCAAATGCCTTCCCACAAACAGAACACGGGAATGGCTTCTCGCCTGTGTGTGTTCTCTGGTGAATCTGAAGATCTGATTGCCGTGAAAATGCCTTCACACACACAGAGCAATTGAATGGCTCCTTGCTCCCGTGTGCTTGGGGCTTCGGAGAGCGTATCTGCTCCATGTGACTGCTTCTTCTGAGCGGAGTAACAGTAGCGGGTGTTATCGATAAATAAAAGTATCCTATCGTCCGCGAGGATGTTAACCGTTGCGTTTTTAGATTTTGTAAACTGCCAAAACAAGAATGTCACTCGCGTTTAATCGAGACGCGAAAATAGACACTTACTTGGAGATTCACGGTGAATCGATGTCTGTAACCCGTCTGAAGATGTCCCCACGAACTCGCATATTCACTCACCATACGAAGCAAAGTCGCCTAACTGTCGACACAGCAATTGTGTTCACCAGGCTGCGTTGTCTCGCGTTAGAAAGGCGATCAGCAGAGCGACGAGTCGAGCGTCCAGCCTCATCAAGTTCCCTCTCGAAATGGCCTTGAGCTCTGCTTCTGAGCCGTTTTATGACTCCCCTCCTAGGATCCAATCCTTTGTCTTTCAGGACATTTCCATTCGATTGTTAACTTTGGAAGGTACAATCCGTATGTCTATTAACATACCGAATCGTAATGTGCCTATTGTGTTTCATGCATGAATATGTAAGTGCATCTCATTGTGTAATTGCGCGCTAATTTTGAATAAATTGGATTAGCGCTGTAAAAACACGTTCCCCATGCCCTCCATTGTCCTCGAATTAAAGTGAATGCAGTCCCGTGGCGTTGCCCACAACCGCCGAGCTTCGGGGCTTGAGCACGTTCAGACGCGTAGTGACCACACTTGCAACACAATCACTCTAACATCAGTAACCAAAACCCGATCTGGTACATGGCCTCCGCTTGGTCTGGTTTGTATCCGTCATCACTCCGGAGACAAACAGCGAGGCACGGTTCGGCCAGCCACCACCTCATTTGCCGCAGCGACTTTAATAGCTGCTCTCAAACAACACTGTCACCATTAGTGATTTACGAGCTAGGGTGTTAAGTGGACAATCAGTCGTTTTGGTATCAAGGCGTAGGGGATAATAGACACCTCTGTTATCCCATAAACACAATACACAGCAGCGGGAAGGCTGCCTTGTTGGGGAGATGTAGTTTGTGTAAGGCGCTGTGAATGGACTTAGGCGATGTGACTGGGTGATCACACGGATTCCGAAACATAGCGGAGACGATACGATCCACTGCGCTCCATTTCCCAACATGGACAACGACATTCTCAGTAAATCATGTGTATTGTACAGTAAGGGAAAATGTATTTGATCCCTGCTGATTTTGGACGTTTGCCCAATGACAAAGAAATGGTCAGTCTATAATTGTAATGGTAGGTTTGTTTGAACAGTGAGAGACAGAATAAAGATTTCTGGCTCCCAGGTGTCTTTTATACAAGTAATGTGCTGAGATTAGGAACACACTCGTAAAGTTAGTGCTCCTAATCTCAGCTTGTTACCTGTATAAAAGACATCTGTCCACAGAATCAATCAATCAGATTCCAAAGTCTCCACCATAGCCAAGACCAAACAGCTTTCCAAGGATGTCAGGGACAAGATTGTAGACCTACATAAGTCTGGAATAGGCTACAAGACCATTGCAAAGCACCTTGGTGAGAAGATGACAACAGTTGGTGCGATTATTCGCAAATGGAAGAAACACAAAAGAACAGTCAATCTCCCTCGGCCTGGGGCTCCATGCAAGATCTCACCTCGTGGAGTTGCAATGATCATGACAACGGTGAGTAATCAGCCCAGAACTACACGGGAGTATTTTGTCAATGATCTCAATGCAGCTGGGACCATAGTCACCAAGAAAACAATTGGTAACACACTACGCCGTGAAGGACTGAAATCCTGTAGCACCCTGCAAGGTCCCCCTGCTCAAGAAAGCACATATACATGCCAGTCTGAAGTTTGCCAATGAACATCTGAATGATTCAGAGGACAACTGGGTGAAAGTGTTCTGGTCAGATGAGACGAAAATGGAGCTCTTTGGCATCAACTCAACTCGCTTTGTTTGGAAGAAGAGGAATGCTGCCTATGACCCCAAGAACACCATCACATATTCTAACATATATACAATACACGTGATTTAAAAACGTATTTGAAATCTTTTTTTTACTGAGAATGTCGTTGTCCATGTAGGGAGATGGAGCGCAGTGGATCGTATCGTCTCTGCTATGTTTCGGAATCCGTGTGACCACCCAGTCACATCGCCTAACTCCAGTCACAGCGCCTTACACAAACTACATCTCCCCAACAAGGCAGCCTTCCCGCTGCTGTGTATTGTGTTTATGGGATAACAGAGGTGTCTATTATCCCATACACCTTGACAAAAACGACTGATTGCCCGCTTAACACCCTAATCCGTAAACCACTAATGGTGACAGTGTTGTTTGAGATCAGCTATTAAAGTCGCTGCGGCAAATGAGGTGGTGGCTGGCCGAACCGTGCCTCGCTGTTTGTCTCCGGAGTGATGACGGATACAAACCAGACCAAGCGGAGGCCATGTACCAGATCGGGTTTTGGTTACTGATGTTAGAGTGATTGTGTTGCAAGTGTGGTCACTACGCGTCTGAACATGCTCAAGCCCCGAAGCTCGGCGGTTGTGGGCAACGCCACGGGACTGCATTCACTTTAATTCGAGGACAATGGAGGGCATGGGGAACGTGTTTTTACAGCGCTAATCCAAAATAAGCGCGCATTTACACATTGAGATGCACTTACATATTCATGCATGAAACACAATGGGCACATTACCATTCGGTATGTTAATAGACATACGGATTGTACCTTCCAAAATTAACAATCGAATGCAAAAATCCTGAAAGACAAAGGATTGGATCCTAGGAGGGGAGTTATAAGGCGGCTCAGAACAGAGCTCAAGGCCATTTCGAGAGGGAACTTGATGAGGCTGGACGCTCGACTCGTCGCTCTGCTGATCGCCCTTCTACCGCGAGACAACGCAGCCTGGTGAACACAATTGCTGTGTCGGCAGTTAGGCGACTTTGCTTCGTATGGTGAGTGAATATGCGAGTTCGTGGGGACATCTTCAGACGGGTTACAGACATCGATTCACCGTGAATCTCCAAGTAAGTGTCTATTTTCGCGTCTCGGTTAAACGCGAGTGACATTCTTGTTTTGGCAGTTAAATAAATCCCAAAACGCAACGCTTAACATCCTCGCGGACGATAGGATACTTTTAATTATCGATAACACACGCTACTGGTACTCCGCTCAGAAGAAGCAGTCACATGGAGCAGATACGCTCTCTGAAGCCCCAAGCACACGGGAGCAAGGAGCCATTCAATTGCTCTGTGTGTGTGAAGGCATTTTCACGGCCATCAGATCTTCAGAGACACCAGAGAACACACACAGGCGAGAAGCCATTCCAGTGTTGTGTATGCGGGAAGGCATTTTCACAGTCATCAACTCTTCAAACTCATCAGAAAACACATACGGGTGAGAAGCCATTCCTGTGTTCTGTGTGTGGGAAGGCATTTTCACTCTCGTCAACTCTTCAGATTCACCAGAGAACACACACGGGTGAGAAGCCATTCCTGTGTTCTGTGTGTGGGAAGGCATTTTCACAGTCATCAAATCTGAACAGGCATCAGAAGGTTCACGACGATTGGAAACTGAAATCAAAAGGTGAAATTCAAGGTGCTGCAATGAGTCCTGAAGGAGATTCCACCTTCGATCCCATGCAGTTGGATCCCGAGAGATGGCTGGATGTAATGGAGTGGCTCGAGAGTCAAAACGAGAGCTAGCGGTGACTGAGAAATAATGTTGCATGTGGTTTAACCTATTAAGCCGGATTGAGTAATTTTGCTTGTAATGTTGCCCCTTACAGTTTTAGTGAGTTTCGTGACGTGGTGGTTTAATGTTTTCGGATTACTTGCTGAAGTGGTGTGATAAGCACTGGTTGTTAGTGTTCAATTGGTGACAATATTGTAGTGGTTAAGTGTTCCTGTTGAGCTAAAGTTGAATTGAGTATAATTACATCTTTACTGAACATTTTACATAGTTTTTATTGGTTGGTAATAAGCGACTGTAGATAACCGATGTCAGGATGTACTTTGATGACGCGTTTGTTGGATTTTTAGCTTGGACTTCACCACAGACGCACAGTGAACAAATGTGGTGAACTAATCAGGAAATCAATAGGGAATGAAACGCTGACGCTTTGGTGTTCCTGAAATTGACATGTTTTACATTCAACTGTAACTGTTTGAGAATAGGACGTAACACACTTGATACGAGTTTTAAGTAAATATTTTTGCAGCTTAATAAAAACATATTTTTAACAACTTTTTTGTCCGTTATTTATTTTACAATGTTTAAAGCAAAAACGCGTGAAAATTTCAGGTGGAGGATCTCCGTCACACAAATATGCCCTTAACCGGCAGCATATTGGCTGTCTACCCCATTAAGATATGTTCCTTGAGGGAATGGTCCCCGTTGTTAATCGTTTCTCAACGTACCAGTCGCTAATCCCAAAGTATGCCGTGGACAAACTGTACTCTGTAACATGTAAACTGTAACAGTCTAAACGATAACACATTAACGACTAAAACCTTGTTTAATAATGTATTACAACACAAATGGGAGGTACGGTATTAAAATTTCATTAGAAGTATTTGAATCTCACTGTGGTCGTACTAAAATCGCGCTCTGCTCATATGCATGTGTAGTGTACGTGGAAGCGAACCGGAGGTCGGATATGCGAACTGGGGTGAGAGGGGGAGAGGGTACAGAGTTAGAATTGCATTAAAATTATTAGAATAACACTTTGCTCGAATGTTTGATATTTGTAAATACGAATCGGGAGTCGCTAATGCGACTAGGGATATGCAATGATTAGAATCCCATTGAAACTATTAGAATCGCACTATGGTCACATTAGAATCAGGACTTTGACAGCTGGATGAATTTTGATTTAAAGCTTTTGTGACTGCACGGATTCATATTCTTGTTTCTTTCGGTAAAGGCACGTTGAAGGGAAACAATAAAATAATAAAAATATAAAGCAATAAAATTCTCACGACGTTTCGACTGCAACACAAGCAATCATCATCAGCTAGATGAATGTTCCATCTGAATGACATCGAATAGCACTATACAATATCCGTGTATATATGTTTAAATAAACGCACAAACCCAAGTCCGTGAGATTATTAATCGTTGCAATTGTAATGACTCCGGACTCAGACTGTAGAGGGTTCTTTTATTTAGCCTTTAACGCGGCTTAGGACCCCGGCGTCACGATACAGCAACGACGACGCCTTAACGGCAACCAGCCGTGACCCGAATCCCCACTAACACAGCCCTGAACCTCGTTCCTTCAACTCTCTCTCGGCGTCAACCTCCCCTCCACCCTTGGTCTCGCCTTCTCTTCTTGAACTCTCTCTCTCCTGTTGTCACCGCTTGTCCATTCGATGAGGCACTGTCTTCACAACAACCATCTTTAAACAAAATGAGCCGTCTCGGCTAACAACAATTTTTAGAAGCCACGTGCGTCAGTGCAGCAGCTGTAGCAACATTTTCCCGACGCCCGACAATCACAATCTTAACGCTCATCTGTAAAGGGGTAAGCGGTGTGACCCTACTCACCCGACAACAACAACACGAAAACATTAAAACAACAACAACAACAATAATCCTAACATGCTTCCACGTTGTCCACAGCCTTGAAGCGTTAGGCAGGTCCCTGGCTTCTTTTAAAGAATTTGGACCGGGCTCCAGGCACCGGTCCCTCGCACGTGGCAGATCCTCGAGGCACCCCGGGCCTCAGGGGCTGGGAAACTGTGGGCGGATCAACACATCTCCTTTGGCGTGCGGTCTCCGTTGTGGAGCGCCCCACCACGTCGGACACAGCAGACTTGGCCTGTACAGGACATGGGGATGAGCTGTCTGGGTGGGCACGGAGAAAGTTCCTCGTTATAAATCGTTTCGCAACGTTCCGGTCACGAATCCCGAAGTATACCGGGGATCACCTGTACTCTATACCACGTAAACTGATAACACTATAAACAATAACATTAAAGTACTATGAACTATCAACTGGTTTTATAATTTATACCTCCATTAACGGAGGGACTGTATTATAATCTCATTAGCAGTATTATAAAATCGCACTCTGCTCATATGTATGTAAAGTGAACGTTCAATCGAACCGAGGGTCGGATATGCGAACTGCGGGGGGTGCAGGGTTAGAATCGCATTAAAATTTTACAATAACAAATGGTCGTATTAGCATGTTTCTGTGCTTGAATGTATGTTATGCGCAAGTGCAAATAGTTTAGTCGTCAATGCGAGGCAGCGGTTAAGAAGTGCACGTTTAATCCGGTGTTAACGTATTTTTTAAAATATTATTTTAGCAGAATATTGTTGATAAGAATTCGTCTGGACATGGCACGTGCCTTGTTCTTTGTCCGTCAAAGGAGTTCATTCATGAGGAGTATTCGCTGAGCCCCGATGACAGTAACCTACATCAAGTTAAATGTGCAAGGTTGCGATTGTAGGATCCACACCCAACACACGGACAATAGAAGGGTCCCCTTGGACAACGTGGAAGCGTATTAGGATTTGTGTGTGGTTGTTGTTGTTTTGTTGGTTTATTGTTGTTGTTGTTGTCGGGTGAGTAGGGTCACACGGCTTACCCCTTACAGATGAACGTTAAGATTGTGATTGTAGCGGCGTCGGAAAAAATTTGCTGCAGCTGCTGCCCTGACGCACGTGGCTTCTAAAAATTGTTGTTAGCCGAGACGGCTCATTTTGTTTTAAGATGGTTGTTGTGAAGACAGTGCCTCAACGAAGGGACAAGCGGTGACAACAGGAGAGAGAGAGTTCAAGAAGAGAAGGCTGGACCAAGGGTGGAGGGAGGTTGACGCCGAGAGAGAGTTGAAGGAACGAGGTTCAGGGCTGTGTTAGTGGGGATTCGGGTCACGGCTGGTTGCCGTTAAGGCGTCGTCGTTGCTATATCGTGACGCCGGGGTCCTAAGCCGCGTTAAAGGCAAAATAAAAGAACCCTCTACAGTCTGAGTCCGGAGTCATTACAATTGCAACTATTAATAATCTCACGGACTTGGGTTTGTGCGTTTATTTAAACATTTATATATACACGGATATTGTATAGTGCTATTCGATGTCATTCAGATGGAACATTCATCTAGCTGATGATGATTGCTTGTGTTGCAGTCGAAACGTCGTGAGAATTTTATTGCTTTATATTTTTATTATTTTATTGTTTCCCTTCAACGTTACTTTACCGAAATAACCAAGAATATAAATCCCTGCAGTCACGAAAGCTTTAAAATCAAAATTCATCCAGCTGTCAAAGTCCTGATTCTAATATGACCATAGTGCGATTCTAATAGTTTCAATGGGATTATAATCATTGCATATCCCTAGTCGCATTAGCGACTCCCGATTCGCATTTACAAATATCAAACATTCGAGCAAAGTGTTATTCTAATAATTTTAATGCAATTCTAACTCTGTACCCCTCCTCCTCACCCCAGTTCGCATATCCGACCTCCGGTTCGCGATTTTAAAACGACCACAGTGAGATTCAAATACTTCTAATGATATTTTAATACCGTACCTCCCATTTGTGTTGTATTACATTATTAAACAAGGTTATAGTCGTTAATGTGTTATCGTTTAGACTGTTACAGTTTACATGTTACAGAGTACAGTTTAACCACGACATACTTTGGGATTAGCGACAGGTACGTTGAGAAACGATTAACAACGGGGACCATTCCCTCAAGGAACATATCTTAATGGGGTAGACAGCCAATATGCTGCCGGTTAAGGGCAGATTTGTGTGACGGAGATCCTCCACCTGAAATTTTTACACGTTTTTGCTTTAAACATTGTAAAATAAATAACGGACAAAAAGTTGTTAAAAATATGTTTTTATTCATCTGTAAAAATATTCACTTAAAACTCGTATCAAATGTGTGTTACGTCCTATTCTCAAACAGTTACAGTTGAATGTAAACCATGTCAATTTCAGGAACACCAAAGCGTCAGCGTTTCATTCCCTATTGATTTCCTGATTAGTTCACCACATTTGTTTACTGTGCGTCTGTGGTGAAGTCCAAACTAAAAATCCAACAAACGCCTAATCAAAGTACAGCCTGACATCGGTTAGCTACAGTCGCTTATTGCCAACCAAAAAAAATATGTAAAATAAAAAAAGCTTTAAAATGTTGAGTAAAGATGTAATTAGACTCATTTAAACTTTAGCTCAACAGGAACACTCACAACCAGTGCTTATCACACCACTTCAGCAAGTAATCCGAAAACATTAAACCACCACGTCACGAAACTCACAAAAACTGTAAGGGGCAACATTACAAGCAAAATGACTCAATCCGGCTTAATAGGTTAAACCACATGCAACATTATTTCTCAGTCACCCCTAGCTCTCGGTTTGACTCTCGAGCCACTCCATTACATCCAGCCATCCCTCGGGATCCAACTGCATGGGATCGAAGGTGGAATCTCCTTCAGGACTCATTGCAGCACCTGGAATTTCACCTTTTGATTTCAGCTTCCTATCATCGTGGACCTTCTGATGCCTGTTCCGTATTGATGACTGAGCAAATGCCTTCCCACACACAGAGCACAGGAATGGCTTCTCGCCCGTGTGTGTTCTCTGGTGAATCTGAAGAGTTGACGAGAGTGAAAATGCATTCCCACACACAGGGCACAGAAATGGCTTCTCACCCGTGTGCGTTTTCTGATGAGCTTGAAGAGTTGATGACCTTGCAAATGCCTTCCCACAAACAGAACACGGGAATGGCTTCTCGCCTGTGTGTGTTCTTTGGTGAGTTTGAAGAGTTGATAACTGTGCAAATGCCTTCCCACACACAGAGCACATGAACGGCTTCTCGCCCGTGTGTGTTCTCTGGTGTCTCTGAAGATCTGATGGCCGTGAAAATGCCTTCACACACACAGTGCAATTGAATGGCTCCTTGCTCCCGTGTGCTTGGAGCTTCAGAGAGCATATCTGCTCCATGTGACTGCTTCTTCTGAGCGGAGTAACAGTAGCGGGTGTTATCGATAATTAAAAGTACCCTATCGTCCGCGAGGATGTTAAGCGTTGCGTTTGTGGATTTCTTTAACTGCCAAAACAAGAAATTCACTCGCGTTTAATCGAGACGCGAAAATAGACACTTACTTGGAGATTCACGGTGAATCGATGTCTGTAACCCGTCTGAAGATGTCCCCACGAACTCGCATATTCACTCACCATACGAAGCAAAGTCGCCTAACTGTCGACACAGCAATTGTGTTCACCAGGCTGCGTTGTCTCGCGGTAGAAGGGCGATCAGCAGAGCGACGAGTCGAGCGTCCAGCCTCATCAAGTTCCCTCTCGAAATGGCATTGAGCTCTGCTTCTGAGCCGCCTTATAACTCCCACGCTAGGATCCAATCCTTTGTCTTTCAGGATATTTGCATTCGATTGTTAATTTTGGAAGGTACAATCCGTATGTCTATGAACATACCGAATGGTAATGTGCCCATTGTGTTTCATGCCTGAATATGTAAGTGCATCTCATTGTGTAATATCGCGCTTATTTTGAATAAGTGGGATTAGCGCTGTAAAAACACGTTCCCCATGCCCTCCATTGTCCTCGAATTAAAGTGAATGCAGTCCCGTGGCGTTGCCCACAACCGCCGAGCTTCGGGGCTTGAGCACGTTCAGACGCGTAGTGACCACACTTGCAACACAATCACTCTAACATCAGTAACCCAAACCCAATCTGGTACATGGCCTCCGCTTGGTCTGGTTTGTATCCGTCATCACTCCGGAGACAAACAGCGAGGCACGGTTCGGCCAGCCACCACCTCATTTGCTGCAGCGACTTTAATAGCTGCTCTCAAACAACACTGTCACCATTAGTTGTTTACGGACTAGGGTGTTAAGGGGACAATCAGTCGTTTTGGTCAAGGCGTAGGGGATAATGGACACCTCTGTTATCCCATAAACACAATACACAGCAGCGGGAAGGCTGCCTTGTTGGGGAGATGTAGTTTGTGTAAGGCGCTGTGACTGGAGTTAGGCGATGTGACTGGGTGGTCACACGGATTCCGAAACATAGCAGAGACGATACGATCCACTGCGCTCCATTTCCCAACATGGACAACGACATTCTCAGTAAATCATGTGTTGTGTACAGTAAGGGAAAAATGTATTTGATCCCTGCTGATTTTGGACGTTTGCCCAATGACAAAGAAATGATCAGTCTATAATTGTAATGGTAGTTTTATTTGAACAGTGAGAGACAGAATACAGATATCTGGCTCCCAGGTGTCTTTTATACAAGTAAGTTGCTGAGATTAGGAGCACACTCTTAAAGTTAGTGCTCCTAATCTCAGCTTGTTACCTGTATAAAAGACACCTGTCCACAGAAGCATTCAATCAAACAGATTCCAAAGTCTCCACCATGGCCAAGACCAAAGAGCTCTCCAAGGATGTCAGGGACAAGATTGTAGACCTACACAAGTCTGGAATGGGCTACAAGACCATTGCCAAGCACCTTGGTGAGAAGGTGACAACAGTTGGTGCGATTATTCGCAAATGGAAGAAACACAAAAGAACAGTCAATCTCCCTCGGCCTGGGGCTCCATGCAAGATCTCACCTCGTAGAGTTCGCTATTAACGTTGTAAAATAAATAACGGACAAGCAGTTGTTGAAAATAATGTTTTATTTATCTGCAAGAATTTTTACACTACTACAACTCGTATCGAAAGTTGATTATGTCTTATGCTCAAACAGTTACAGTACAATCTTGATTTGAAGCTTTCGTGACTGCAGGAATCCGCTCTTTGGTTATTTCGTTAAAGTCACATAGGTAGAAAAATAATAGATCACATTATGGATCTATTATTACCTATTATTTTGTCTACCTACGTGACGTTACCTAAAGCACCAAAGAGTATAGCTACATTTTGATTTAAAGCTTTCGTGACTGCAGTAATTCATATTCTTAGTTTTTTCGGTAAAGTCACGTTGAAGGGAAACAACAAAATAATAAATATATATATACATATATATAAAACAATAATGCAAACCATGTCAATTCCAGGAATACCAAACCAAATTATCCTTCCCCATTGATGTCTTTATTAGTTCACCATATTTGTTCACTGTGCGTCTATTTTGAAGTCCAAACAATACATAAGACGAATGCTTCATCAAGGTACATCCTGAAATCGGTTATTTCAAGTCGCTTATTGACAAAGAAAAAAACCTACCCTATTGAAAAAACACGTTTAAAATGTTGAGTAAAGATGTAACAGACTCATTCCAACTTTAGCTCAACAGGAACACTTAACCACTACAATATTGTCAACAATTGAACACTCACAACCAGTGCTTATCACACCACTTCAGCAAGTAATCCGAAAACATTAAACCACCACGTCACGAAACTCACTAAAACTGTAAGGGGCAACATTACAAGCAAAATTACTCAATCCAGCTTAATAGGTTAAACCACATGCAACATTATTTCTCAGTCACCCCTAGCTCTCGGTTTTTACTCTCGAGCCACTCCATTACATCCAGCCATCTCTCGGGATCCAACTGCATGGGATCGAAGGTGGAATCTCCTTCAGGACTCATTGCAGCACCTTGAATTTCACCTTTTGATTTCAGTTTCCAATCGTCGTGAACCTTCTGATGCCTGTTCAGATTTGATGACTGTGAAAATGATTTTCCACACACAGAGCACAGGAATGGCTTCTCGCCCGTGTGTGTTCTCTTATGGCGTTTAAGGTCTGCTGAAAGTGAAAATTCCTTTCCACATACAGAACACTGGAATTGCTTCTCACCTGTGCGTGTTCTCTGGTGTCTCTGAAGATGTGATGGCCGTGAAAATGCCTTCACACACACAGTGCAATTGAATGGCTCCTTGCTCCCGTGTGCTCGGGGCTTCGCAGAGCGAATCTGCTCCATGTGACTGCGTCTTCTGAGCGGAGTAACAGTAGCTTGTGTTATCGATAATTAAAAGGATCCTATCGTCCGCGAGGATGTTAAGCGTTGCGTTTTGGGATTTTGTAAACTGCCAAAACAAGAATGTCACTCGCGTTTAATCGAGACGCGAAAATAGACACTTACTTGGAGATTCACGGTGAATCGATGTCTGTAACCCGTCTGAAGATGTCCCCACGAACTCGCATATTCACTCACCATACGAAGCAAAGTCGCCTAACTGTCGACACAG